GGCCCAGGGCGCGTGCGCGGCGGCCGCGCCCGTCCCCTGGTCCCGCCGCGGCGGCCGCGCGTCACGCGGCGCGGCGGCGTAGCTGGCGGGCGGCCGTGAGAGCTTCTGCAGCTTCAGGGCAGCTTCCAGGTCCGCGAGCCTGCTGCTGTTGAGCGCCGGGAGCCGGGTGCACCGCAGCCACCCGCCCTCCGCGCGGCGGCAGTCGCAGGGCGCACCGCCCGCGAGGCGCGTCCATTCCTACGGCACGCGGCGCCGAGGCGCGGTGCGGCGCCGAGGGGCGTGCTGGATCATCGCTTTGTGTCCACCAAACTCACACACTCACTCACACACGCACATACACACGCACATACACATGAATAGACACACACACACACACACACACACACACACACACACACACACACACACACCCACACCCACCAGCGTGGATGCGGCCAAGCACGCCCCCGCGTCGCCGCACCTGCGCCAGCGCCGCCTCCTGCCGCGGCGTCGCTCCGCGCAGCAGCAGCACCTGCAGGCGGCGGAACGCCGGCAGCGCCGCGCGCAGCCGCGCGGCCGCCTCGTCCCCCCACGCGCGGTCGGCCGAGAGGCGCAGCCCCACGCCGACGGCAGCCTGAGGCGCTAGCCCTGGTCCCTCAGCGCCGCCGCCGCCGCCGCAGCCGCCGCCGCCCCTGATCGTGAGCGTCAGGCCCGCCACCTCGGGCGCGAGCTCGAGGCGCAGCAGCCGCAGGCGGAAGCTGCCGGGCGCCTGCTCGCAAGCTGCAACCAACTCGAGCACGAGCGCCAGGTCGGCGGGGGTGGGGGCTGCGGCAAGGGGGAAAGGCGGCGAGGAACATGCAAGGCGTGGTGTTTGGAGATTGATTAGGAATCGAGCACCTGGCGCGGTGTGGGCGGGGCAAGCGCGGCGCCGGGCAACACGAGAGTTTTGCATGCCCGCCAAGCGCCGGGCCGCCGCTGCGGCAACACCGTCGCAGCCGCGGCGGCCCGGCTCGCCTTCGTAATGCAGCGCCTCGAGGTGCGGCATGTACGTGCGCAGCAGGACGCCCAGGTCGGGCGTCAGGGGCTCGCGCAGCGCCGCCGCCCACACGCCGCGCAGCGCGTCGCGGGTCGACCAGGGCGCCACCAGCACGTCGTCAAAGCCTGTGTGACGCGGCAGGGATTTGTCCCGTGCATCGTTGCAAGCAGTCGCGCTGGTCATGTGTGGTGGCGGCAGCGGTGGCAGACGGCGCTCTCTGGGGTGCGCACCCATTGTTGGCTTCGTGTTGAGTGCGCGCAGCACGCCGCTGGTCGGCGTGTCATGCTCCTGCTCCACCAGTTCCACCAGCTCATCCAGGGCGCCCAGTTGGCTGGTCATTGATGCGCTCCTGTAATCTAGCTTCTATCCTGACCACCGAGCAGTTTACTGTCCATGTCACAAGATCGCATGTTTTGAATGTTTAAAGACTGTTTGCGGCATGCGCACATCGCTCATACGACGATAATACTTGCAGACATATCCACACACTTATCAAGATTGGGCTGGCCGAAACCTGCACCAGGTGATCATCTGATCGATATTGTGTCACTCAAAGTCACCCGTGACCGCAAGTGTCGGGCCTTCTTGTTTGGAAGTTTCTACACCGGTACAGTACGTTCTTAGCTTGTGATCTGCGTGCTAAGGGTCCTTTCACCCCATACAGGCAGCAGGCTGCGCCACAACCATGCTTGCAGCTGCAGGGGGGCGAATGCCCCCAGGAGCATACTCGATACGCTCTCAGTTCCGCGGCGCTACTGTGCTGCTGACCGGCGCAACCGGCTACGTGGGCGGCCTGGTCCTGGAGGCGCTGCTGCGCACAACTGATGTGGGGAGGGTGCTGGTGCTGCTGCGGCCCAAGGCGGGCGCTGCGCCCGATGCGCGCCTGGCGCAGCTGCTGCAGGTGCGGTGGTTGCATGTGGCCGTGTTGATACAATATGCTGACTATCACTATTGCTGCCCTGACGCACACCTCAGCGCAGCGCCGAGGCAGGGTGCCAACCCTCAACCATGCCGCAACGCGTGCCGCTGGCAGCGCCGCCACACGTGACCGCAGCACTGCCTCGCTGACCGCCTGACCTGATCCCGCACCCGTCCGCTCGAGCACCCACCCAAAACGCCCCTCTTCAAACGTACGCGCACACACTCACCCCACCCTCCCTCAACAAATAAGAGCAGGCCAGCATCTTCAGGAAAGTCAGAGACGACCGCCACCTCATCGCCAAGGTCTCAGCTGTTGCGGGCGACATCAGCCTCCCAAACCTCGGCCTCTCCGACCTCGACCGCGACCTCGTCGCGTCCAAGGTCCAGATCATACTGCACTGCGCCGCAGACATACGCCTGGAGGTCGACATACAGACGGCGCTGGCGTCGAATTACTTGGGCACGCGCGCGGTGCTAGAGCTGGCGCGGCGCTGCAAGGGGCTGAGGGCGCTCGTGCACACCAGCAGCGCGTTTGTCAACATGAACCGGCCGCGGTCGAGCGTCGTGGGGGAGCGGCTGTACCCGCTGACGCACGGGCGGCGGGCGGTCGGGCCCGAGGAAGTCGTGCAGGTGGGGTGAACTAGGGTTGAGGGTGGAGGCTGCGGGCGGACGTCGGGGCTCAACGGGGCATGGTCATGCTGGCGGCGCGGCCGCGCTGAGCAATAGGGGGTGCGGGGCCGCACGCGCTTGGCGCCGCCCTGAAAACCTGGTGCCGGCCGCATGGGCCCTGCCGGGCCAGCGACGGCGGCGAGCGCAGCAGGATGCCGGACCGTTCGGCTTTGCATGAACATTGCACCCCCCCCCCGGGCCCCCTCTTTTCAATGGAGGCCCCACCAGATGAGAAGAGCCCCTCCACCCTCCTCAACCACCTCTCTTAACCCCTATCGCCAGGACCTCCTCTCTCTGCCGAAGCAAGCCGCCGAGACGCGCGCCGCCGCGCTCGGCCTGCGCTGGGGCTTCCCCAACAACTACACCCTCAGCAAGCACCTGGCCGAGCAGCTGGTGGGAAGCTACTACTCCGACCACGCCCTGCCGGCCGCCATCGTGCGGCCGTCGCTGGTTTGCGCCGTCGCGTACGAGCCGTCCCCGGGCTTTGTAGGCAACTGGGCGGGCCCGATCGGCGCCGCGGCGGCGATGGCACTCGGGTTCTACCATTCGCTGCGCTGCGTGTCGTCGCAGCCCCTGCACGTGTGGGACGTCGTCCCCGGCGACTTCGCCGCCGCGGCCGTGCTGGCCGCCGCCGCGGCGACGGCGACGGGCGTCGGCGGCGCCGCGGCCGCTGCGGCGGCCGCCGCCTTCGAGGGC